TATATATATATATATATATATATATATATAAATATATATACACCTGAAATTGTGCATGCGCAGAAAAAGGTAGCTAACAGGACAAGAACGTAGGACGGCCTGACATAAACATATCACCAGAATGATTAAGAGAACCACGGAGAGAACCCGGAAAGAACAAAATCCTCCACTATACATTTAATGATTAAACTTCATTTTAAGTAATATGTATAATCCTAATTATAGAATCAAACTGTATTTTAATAATTAGGTTCAAAGTTGTTATTAACAACTGCTGGGCGACTCCAACTCCTTATTCAACAGACAGGAAGAGGTGGAGTCTTATCATCAACAGGTGCCAACTCATTTTAAATCTCTTGAAAAGGTCAATAAACCAGATTTATTGTGTGTGTATTAGCTCCTTAATGTCTGTTTGCCACCAGCTGTCCGGCTGACTACACTGTGACCATTTTCGATAACGCCAAAGACAGTCGCTCCACCTTTAAGTTCAACTCTTTCCGCTTCCAGCGACTGGAGAAGGTTTCCACCGTGTGGCTTCACTGCGAGGTCCACATCTGTGATGCAGAGAGGCTAGTCTGTCAGCCTGTGAGTACAACAGCTAGACTTAATCACAAACAGAAATATATTAAAGGGACATGGCCACGTACTATCACACCAAAAACCATATATATTCATCTTCAAGAAGAACTTTATGCACCAAGCATTCATTCTGATGGAGTTAAATTTATCCTTTATTCCTACACTGGGAACAATCAGCAAATATAAACATTTTAGAACAACGTTGCCCTCTGCTGGTAGTAATTACTCATGGATCCATTGACTTGGCAGCTTCCATAGCTTTACCTCATGCCTCAGTCAACATGTGTCAACACGTGTGATATTTTGTTTTCTCTTTTACACTTGATCTTGGAAGTTTTGTCTTACTATTGAAACATATGTAGGTAAATTGCTCACTTGCTTGACTCCATTTTAATCATTTAATGTTGAATGTTTGCACTCAAGTACAATATCCTACATTCGTTCCTGTGAACTTATAGTTAATTCCAAAAAAAATTATATTAAACAAATCAACATAAAACAAATTATAAAACACATAAATAAGAAATTCAACCAGTCTGAGCCACTGGCATAAACATTTGTAAAGTTTTTTTTACAGGATTAGGTCTGATTTTGGCAAGTAAACTTGCCAGCAAAGCATGATACAGCTTGTTCTTTTCTTAAGTAAACAATTTGCTTTCCTAGAATTATGATCTGCTTTTTTTTATTTTGTACTTTCCGTAACTTATAAGTTATTTTTTTTGGAACTTCAAGTGGTTTTCGTGGCCCTACAGATATCTTTTCTAAAGACACATGATGCTTTAGTGAACTTACAGGTACTTTCATATTCCTGAAAGTACCAGGTTATGGGGTACTTTACTAAATATGTGTAAAATTAGAATGTAGCTTCTACACTTTCTGCCCAATGTTTTATTTACCTCTGAGAAGTTACCAGATTGTTACCCAAAACGTTAAAGGACAGTTACTGTTAAGTTTAGTAATGGCTGTTGTCTATAAAGTAACCTAAGTTATGAAAAGTTACCTGCAAGTTATGGAAAGTTAATCCTTAAATAATGAAAAGATTAAAAAAGAAAAAAACCCTATAACTTCCAGAACAGTTATTTATAAGTGTTGGCAAAATATATTGTCAAGTCCAATCAAAGTTATAAAGTAGCTTTAACTTGGTGAAAGTAACATCTAAAACTTTAAATATATTCTAAGCTCGTAGACAGTAATTGTGCTTTTACATAAGGAAACTAATAAGTTCGGAAAAAGTAAGATGTAGGATTAAAAAAAACAAAGTTTGTAGAAAGTCAGCTGCTAATTTTAGGAAGGAATCTGACTTTTAGGAAATTTCAAAAAATTTCAAGTTTTGGCAAAATAAGCTCTAAGAACTGGAAAGTGATAAAAGCAGGGATGGTCAACAGCTGAAATATGTCTCAGATATCTGATGTTTGAGTAATCTTTGTTGCAACAGACACTTATACTTATATACGTATACTGTAATGTGTTATATGTATGTATGTATGTATGGATATATATATATATATATATA